GTAACGGTCCCGGAAATGTTAAAATGAAATGAGTATTTAAACACATAAAATGCGGAAGCGAGATCAAAATTTCAGTTAACATCCCTTACACGAAAACCAAAAACGTACTTAAAATATAAAAGATTAAACTAACTAAAAGAGAAACTCGAAAATAAAACTATGAGTATGACTACAGAATCTCTAAGCATCCCCTTCGTCGTCCTCCTGCGGAACGGGCTCGGGAACCATGTCTTCCTGATTTGAAATGGTTAAATAAGGAGTGAGCTACACTAGCCCAGTAAGAACATCACGATATCTCACCGTCACGGAGGTAAAGGTGGGTAGAAAAACACAAAAGACCAATGGAGCATGATTTACAACAAATCCTTTTATTTATGATAAAACCTTTACCATCCACTTACCTCGGTGGAATTCATGAAACAATATAAGAAAAACAATAACATTATCACAATCATGGAATAATATAAGTTGTAAAACATAGCACTTATCACGCCTTTTGTAATTCAACCATTATACCACATATCCTTTTCTCATTTACCAGCCTACTAGTATCCATGGGGGTCCATAGGGGTCCCGCTACCCGTTAACCTTTAACATTCATAATCAGTTTCCAAGGCCGTCCCCATACCCCGTCTGGTATGGGCGCCAAAACCATAAATCTCAATACCCCGTCCGGTATGAGGGTGAAACGGGCCGTCCCCATACCCCGTCCGGTATGGGTGCCAAAACCATAAGATCTCCATACCCCGTCCGGCATGTGAGACCACAATCCCGGTAGGGTTCCCTACGGACCCGGTCCGTCCACCATCTCCCAGGATATCTAGTCAGGCTGATCCCATAATACAATTATCAGTCTACACAATCTTTTATTTTCCTTTTCCTCAGTCAGCATCATCAATTCACATTTAAACAAGCAAATCGTAATTCATGCCAAACAGACAACATACAGTATCAGTTTTTCAGTCATTCAACCCATAATTAATAAAAACGTAGTATATGCACACAAATCTGTAAAATGAACACATCAAACCTCATTTTGCATGTAAAGCTGTAAACAGGCCAAATAACAGTAAATCACCAATCACACTAGACTCGGGCTCCATTAGCCACCTTAAGCAATTTCACACATTCGTTAATTCAAGAAATACCGTTTTATCATTTTGAACTTTAATACCGTGATAGGAATAGGGTGAGGGGTCCTTACTTGTTTCGGGGTCCGAACACGGCTTTGCAGTGCGCTTGCAGGCTATCCCTAATTTTCCCTGAATTTTTCTCGGGGAACTGAAACGCACTACTGGTATCGGCGGCGGCGCTCTCGGGTGCGGCGGCTCTCCGGTGAGGTTCGTGTTTTGGTGATTCGGCTCCGGTCAACCTCGATCGCCGGTCGGAAATTTTCCCGGCGCGGCGGCGGGTGGCGGCGGCCGGCTTCTGGTTTGTCTTCTCCGGCGAGCGGCAGGCGACTAGGGTTTGTGGTCTGGTGTGGGGTTCTATTTATAACCCCTTGCCTTTTGATCTCAGCCGTTTATTTTGTTTTAATCTGGGCCGTTCGTTTTTTATTGAATCTGGGCAGTCCGTGCGATTGCATCTGGGCCGTCCGATGGCGCGATTGATCTGGGCCGTCCGATCGCACCCACGCGAATCGCCAACGTGGCCCCTTTTCGGAGCGACGTGGTCTTGCCACGTGGCAGCCCCGGTTGGCCGGGACTGCTGACCGGGCCTGCTGACGTGGCTGCCGACGTGGCCCTTTTTTTTTTTCTCCTTCTCGGTCCGGGCGCTACAGAAAAAAAAAACAGTCGTATTAGATAAATTTTATTAATTATTAAAAAATATAGATAATTAAAAAGATATCTTATAAATATATATTAATTATAAAAAATATAGAT